CTCTACGTTTATCCAAGTGGAACAAATGCAACAGACGAAGTGAAGGGTGGCCAGGAGAAGCCAACTGAACAGAACAGCCATCAGAAGCGGCTCAGAGCACCAGTCTCGGCTCCATCACGTCTCAATTCTGTAAGATGTTTGCTTTTTCCATTTTTATTAACCAGGATTCTTGACCGTAGTGCGTGCATTAACATTACACAGTCTTGAATCACCACCAGGGTTTCTCTCCACCACACTTAAGTAGCGTAACAAGAATGGCCAATTCCAGCAGCTCAAGGTATGACTTGTTCACATAGTAAATCTCCCCTTTTTGACTAGGAAAATGAATAAACTGGTCTATTGTTTACTCCAGAGAGGGCCTGTGAAGTAGCAGGGAGAGAGCACTGGCCTGAGGGAACCTGGGCATGCCATCTAACCTCGGCTTCCTGGGCTGCAAAATACGGATGATGATAATAACAGCACCCACCTCTCAGGATTATTGCTCCAATCAAATGGTGCTTGGTAAAATACTTTGCAAACCTTAAAGCGCTATATAAGTGTGAACTGGTAGTTTTAGCAGCAGCTTCTATAAGTAAGGCAGGTTTTAGAGAGGAGGGAGGGCTTTGAAGGCCGGCATCAAGATGGATGGTCATACAGTGCCACGTAACCTCTCTCTGGTCCTATCAAACCCAACAGACTATCATAGCCTAAAGCCAGCCTAGGGAAATGCATGGAAGCTGATTTCCGGAGGTAGCCTCCAGGGATGACATTTTTTGACCCAAGTAACTTGTGCAACCATGTCAGTCATAAAGAGATTATACCAGTAAAACTGGCATCAGTGGAGAAAGCCCACATACCAATAAAATCATTGTTCCTTGAAGTATATATCAGTCAACAAGTACTTAAATGCCTATGTGTCAGACACATTAATAAATATATTAATGAACCTAGAGGTAACCAACTTAAAACTTCATCGTTTCTCACAACTGAAAACACCTTAGAAGGGGCAAAACATGGATTCTAAAGGCCACATGCACAAAATGGCATACAGATAAGAGGGCACAACGCACCATCTACACCTGTGTTCACAAATAACTCACAGTGGGTAATACTGAAGGTTTCCAAAGCTCTTGGACTATATCTTATAATCCTTTTCTGCCCTGGAGCCAAAAGTCAGTTCAACAAAAAAGCAGGTTTTAAACAACCAGAAGAGAACTTAAAAAAAAAAGTACTGTAACCACATAGATAAGAACCCCTCAAAAACGCGAATAAATTGCACCTGTAGACACACACATACATTCTATTAATAATTCAACTCTTTATTATCTTGGTAAAAATCATGCCAAGAGAAAAATATTGATTCAGTTTTAAGTAAATAAAACAACTGCAAAAAATTGTCTCAACTAATGTATTTCCTCACTCGAAGACATTTTAAATAGGCTATAAGCTACCATGAAGGGCATCCCTAACTGCTGCTCAAACATACCCTCTTAACAGTTTCTAAAGGCAGCATTAACCATACATTGACTCTAAGGAATTTCAGACTTGACCACTTGACCATCTCCACGTTAAATCTAGAATATTTCTGTATTCTCTCTCTAACTGCCTGTGCTGTACCCCAAGACACCTTGTGCTAAAGTCCAAGGGAGCTGCCCTTATAAAGTCATGTGTCCCAGAACCTGAGCTGGTCTTGTGATCATGAAACAATACAAGGGCCTGAAAGGAAAACTACGGCTAGACCAGTTGATGATCTATGCTGAGTAATCTGTTTTAAACAAGAGTACAAAAATCTAAAACCTGGCAATGATGGTAAAAGTTAAAAAGTACCAAGTCCCCTGGATTCTTCAACCCATCAGTGGAGTTGAAACCCTCAAAATTCAAGCACAAATTCACTTCTGAAAGCCTAAAGGTCAAACGTTTCCAGATTTGGGAGTGAGGAAAGAGGAGGATTAGGAAGGAGCAAATAAGGGGAAGAGGTACAGGAGGGCAGGGCAAGGGAACAAGGCTGTCCAAGACAGGGGGCAATATTGGCACAAACTCTAGTGATAAAGCAGAGGTAAGGACAAGGCCTTTTAGAAGTACACAAGGACTTTCAATGAAGGACTTGAAAGCCTTGTTGTTAAAGGCAGTTAAGAGATGAATAGCCAGGTGCTGAAAGGACAGGAGATGGAACAGGATTCAAGGTGTCTTGGATTAAAGACGAGATGAACAAAGGTGGAGCGCAGAAAAGTTAAGATTGGAGAGCCACCACTCAGAAAAGGTGACATACATATGTATACTGTACGGTGAATAATAGGTAAAGGACCCTGGAAGAACTCAGGTGGAAGATGTAGAGACAAGGGTCAGGTGAGATGGAAAACTGAGATGACCCCCCCCAAACAAAAACAAAACCAGAGTAGGGAGACAGATAATGTAGAAGGGTGGGCATGTAAGGGTCTCAGCATACCTTACAGAGGCAGAGATTTGGGTAATGAGGAAATGGAGTAAATATGGAGTGACGGATTTGAAGTCAGAGGTGGTATTGTTCAGTCATTTCATTTGTGACCCTTTTCTGAGGTTTTCTTGGCAAACATACTGGAGGGGTTTGCCATTTCCTTCCCTAGCTTATTTTACAGGTGAGGAAACTGAGGCAAACAGGGTTAAATGACTTGCTCAGGGTCATACAGCTAGTAAGTGTGTCAGGCCAGATTTGAACTCAGGAAGATGAGTCTTCCTGATTCCAAGCCTGGCATGCTGTGCCAGCGCTAACTAGCTGCCTCTGGAGTCAGATGACCTGGGTTCAAATCTCAGCTCTTCCACTTACTACTGTGCGACCTTCAGTTCTCTGGGCCTCATTTGCAAAGTGAAGGGATTGGACACTGTGATCTCAAAGGTCCCTTTTATCTGGATATCCGTGATCCTATGAGTACTGGGGCCAAGAACTCACCTCTACTAACTGAACTGAGACATCTTCCTCTCCCCACCAAGGAAAGGGAGTCTGTATATAAGGGAATGGGGGGGTAGAGGGTTAAGATTAATGGGGTTTATAGGCTCTTAGTGTCCCAGGAAGGGACTCACCTCTCCAAACTGGAAAACTGGGCCAAAACACACCAAATATAGGGTTAGTTAGAGGGACAAGGTCTAAACTGGTTTAGAGTAACTTTGGAAGATGGAAATTTGGGAAAATGGGTAATGTTGGTGGTGAAAGATCATTTCTTCAAAATGGAAGACGAGGCGATAACATCCTCCCTCCACCAAAAAAAAAAAAGCAGAATGGTGGGCAAAAGATAAAGAATAAAAAGACTGGCTGAGGGGACCATGGCAAGGTGCTACCTGAACCAAAGGGTTCACCTCTCCACACTAGAAGGCTTAGATAAAGACTCTCCCCAAAAGGCAGTTTGGGAGCAGTGAATAATGGGAATGGTGGGACTTTTGAGTTTCAGGAAAGGAGTGTGCTGGAGCCAATCTGTATCAGCTTGGAGCTGATTGTTAAATTTTTGTGTCGGCAGGTACTTCTTGGAACTCAGCAAATGCTACACATCAGGGCTAAATCTACTATTTTGTTGATGGTCACCAGGCTTATGTGATGGCAAAAATGTTAATAATGCAGACTAATCAACGAATTTATTTCTTTTGGGAGGCAATCAGAGTTAAGTGACTGTGTGACCAGGGTCACACAGCTAGTGTCTGAGGCTGCATTTGAACTCAGATGCTCCTGACTCCAGGGCTGGTGCTCTGGAGCAGCCACTGTACCACCTAGCTGCCTCAAAGCAGACTGATTTAAAACTGTGTCCCTAGTCCTCCCAGAGCTGGATGCTAAACATTTGCCAGCACACCTCTTTCAGGGTATGTTAGAGAGACAGAAATTTAGGAAACTTGGGCTAAAGTTTCACCTCTAAAAAAAAAGTTGGGTTTTTTTTCTGTTTTGTTTTGGAGGAGAGAATGACAGTAGGCAGTAGGGCAGCTCTGGATGCCTTAGGAGGGCGGTGAGGTCTTAAGTGAAAGACTCACCCCTCCGAACTAAAAGGAACCAAAACTTCAACTTCTCCTTCCCCCTAAAAAGAGTATGAGGGGAAATGTACAACAAAGATGACAGAGCTTACAAACCTTTCAGGGTGGGAGGAGAGAGAAATTTAGCAAACAAGCAGGGAGAGATGGAAAGGGCCACACCTTTCCAAACTCACCTCCCTATAAAGAGAGGTAATAATAGGGGAAAGGGGGTAGAATGGAGACGACGGAGAATTTAGAAGATGTCAGGGTGGGGGGTGAGGGTTACACTTCTCTCTCCAAACTGAAAGGCTGCAGCAGAGCCTTCCCCCGAAGTATCGGGCTGGGGAGGTGATGTTAAGAAGCTCTCGGATGAGGCTAGAGGGAGAAACAAAGAAGCTGGAAGGGAAAGTGGTAAGGGTCACACCTCTCCAACTTGGAAGGCCCTTCAAACGTATCAGCAGGCAGGGCATTAGCAGAAAGCCCCCCACAAACAACAAAAGAGGCATTAAGTGGTGGTTAGTAGAGATTTCCCCCTAGAGACAAAAACACTAGAGGTGGCAAAGACCCCCCCCTTAAAATAAAGAGAGAGAGAGCGCATATGGGAAAGGGGTTAGGGGAGGCCCCCCCAAGCGGAGCCGTGTGGAAAAGAGCCGCAGAGACGCCCTGCAGAGGCCAGCACCTGGGGGTGGATGGAAGCTGGGACCCCTTCTGCAGAGGCGGCATATGGAAGGAAAGCAAGGACTCTCGCTCCAGGAGAGAGAGAGAGAGCAAGAGTGGGATCCTCCGCAGAGGCGGCACGTGGGGGGGGATCGCGGGGACCCCCCGCAGAGCAGCACGTGGGGGGGCAGGATCGCGGGGACCCCTACCCCCGCAGAGGTGGAACTTGGAGGGAGCTCGGTGAGGGATAGCGGGGACCCCCCGCAGAGGTGGCACGATGGGGGTGGATGGCGGGGACCCCGCAGAGGCGGCAGACGTGCTGGGGGGGTGAGGAGTAGCAGAGCCCCCTCCCGCAGGCAGCCCCCCCAGGACCCGGCGGCTCCGCGCGGACTCACCTCTCCAAACTGGAAAGCGGAGACGATCATGAGGACGACGCCCCCGAAGCACAGGTAGAGGCCGTACCTGTGCGACAGGCAGGTGTAGGTCTGCCTCTGCAGGAGCTTGAGCAGCATCGCCGCCGCCACCGCCGCCGCCACTCATGGCAGCACGGGCCACGGCCACCTGCCCCCGGGCTCAGCTCCGCTCCAGCCACCGCCTCTTCCGGGAGGCTGCCGGCCCCGGCCCCGCCCCCGCCCCCGCCCCGCGCCGCGGCGAAAGCGAGGCTGGGGGCGGGGCCTGCGGCGCCACCGGCTCCCCACGCCGCCCGTCCCCTCCTCGGCCGCCAGCGCCCCCTGGTGCGCGGAGGGACGCGGTGCCCTCCGAGGCGCATGGGCCGCTTCAGGCCCCACCCACCGCGTGCGCCCCTGGGCGGTGCGCACAGCCAGAGCGGAGCGGAGCGGAGCGGAGCACAGGAGGCCGGCGGCGGGAGGATCGCATGGGTGGTGTACTCTGCGCCGGTGGGAGCCTCCCCAGAGAAAAGTATGATTTATAAGTGTTGTAAAGGTTGCAGAGGCCTTTAAATGCACCGTCTCATTGGAGTGCCCTGCTCCTCCAAAAGTGTGGTTATATAAACACTTTAAAAGTTGCGGAGCCCTTTAAATACCTTGTCTCATTTGAACCCCACCCGGCCAAGGAGCGTAGGTTATAAACACTTTCAAGGTTGCAGAGCCCTTTAAATAAATACATTGTCTCATTTGAGCTTCCCTTCGCCTCCTGGTGGCTTATAAAAATATTTTCAAGATTGTAGAGTACTTTAAACATAGTCTCATTCGAGCTGCATAAAAAGGTGGGTTTTATGTGTGGAAGTATACAAAGCACTTTGCATACATTGTTTCTTGGGTGTCTTGCAATAAGCGTGGTCTGTAGAACATCAAAGCTTGAAAAGTCCTCTAAATACAGCGTGTCCCTAAAGTCTTAATGCAATTTTAACCCATAGAACCTAAATGAGACAATGTATTTAGAGTTTTGCAACCTTGGAAGTGTTGTGTTTTTTTTTTTTAATAAACCACAAGTCGTTTGTTCATTCCTTCAGTCCGGTCCAACTCCTTGTGATTCCTCGGACGATGGCATGACAGGCCCTTGTATTATCCACTACCTCTCAAAGTCCATCCAAGCTCATGTTCACTGCTTCATGACACCATCTATCCATTTCATCCTCTGCTACCCTCTTCTTCCTTTACCTTGAATCTTTCCCAACATCAGGGCCTCTTCCAATGAGTCCTGTCTTCTCATTATGGGGCCAAAGTATTTCAACTTCAGATGTTGACCTTCCAGTGAATCGTCTGGATTAATTTTTTTTAAGTATTGACTTGGTTTGATCTTACAGCTGTCCAAGAGACTCTCAAAAGTCTTCTCCAGCGCCACAATTCAAAAGCATCTGAGGTGCTCTGCTTTCCTTATATCCCAGTTCTCACAGCCATACATTACTATCAGAAAAACCATAGCTTTGACCTTTGTCAGGAAGCTATTGTCTCTGCTTTTTAGTGTGCTGTCCAGATTTACCATAGCTTTCCTTCTAAGGAGCAAGTCTCCTCTAATTTCTTGGCTGCAGTAGCCATCTTTGAGCCCCAGAATATAAAATCTGACACTGCTTCCATTTCTTCTCCTTCGGTTTGCCAGGAAGTGATGGAACCGGTTGCCAAGATCTCAGTTTTTTCAAGCCAGCTTTTACACTCTCCCCATTCACCCTTATCAAGAGGCTCCTTAATTCTTCTTCACTTTCTGCCATTAGAGTGGTATCATCTGCTTATGTGAGATTGTTGATATTTCTCTCAGCAACCTTAATTCCAGCTTTTGATTCATCCAGCCTGGCATTTCACACGAGGTAGTCTGCATATAAGTTAAATAAATAAGGTGACAATATAGCCTTGTCATTCACCTTTTCAATTTTAAACCAATCAGTTTCATGTTCAGTTCTTGATCCAAATACAGGTTCCTCAGTAGACAAGTAAGATGATCTGGTACTCCTGTCTCTTTGAGGACTTGCCACATTTTGCTGTGATCCATACAGTCAAAGGCTTTAGTGTAGTCAATGAAGCAGAAGTAGGTGGGTTTTTTTAAAAAAATTTTATTGGTATTCAATTTAACAGGTATTCAAAAACAAATGCTGAAATAACTCATCAAAAGGACTATCCTTGTTAAATGGACAAATGCAGTATAGGATTTAATTTTTTTTAAAAATTTGGCTATGTACTTCATTTATTTTGTCTCAGAGAAATGAAGTTTCTCACGTGTTAATTTTCTGGATAACTGAAGCCCATCATGTAAAGTATCAATTTTTAAAATTTAACCATTTTAGATGGAAGTCTTTACCCAACCTCTTAAATAGAGTATACATAACCTTTCTTTGACTTAGGGTAATAATGATGCACAATCAATTATTAATACTGGGACTAGAGGAAGAATATCAGCACAATCACTGATTATCTTTAATTAAATAGTAATGCTTTTTTTCTTTCAGTTATTCTGCCTGCGTTTTCTATTATCTATGTTATACTTTGTTGTCACTTCTTGCTGCTGTCAATGTTCCTAGCAAAAGGAGCCACCTTTTATAACCAGGGTGATGAAGACTGTGTCCCAAATAAGGAAATAGGTTTGAGTGACAGTATGAGGAGTTTTCCAATGAGTAAAAGGCATGAGCCTTATGGACCTTATTACACCTATTTTAACTGCTTAAAGGCCTATTTTATTATTATTATTATTATTATTATTATTTTGCTCATTGCCAGCTTCTTGGTGGTGTTCTGGATAGTTGAGGTTGCCACAAAGGTGGCCTCCAAATAAGTGAGTTATTACAGTATCCACATCAGCAAAGCAATGTTAGTATGGACTGTTGGCCAGGATGTGGAAATATCCTTATTACATAGAAGTGGACATCATCATGGTATTCATCAAACTGAGATTCTGTGTGCCCATAAAGTCTGTTAGATGACGTTGGGCTAATACCAGCAGGAGTATCTGCTGTCCTCTCTGCTGGTTTCTCTTCCTTGGGAGCACTAGTGGGTCTAGGTTCCCAAGCTGCTGCAGCTGGTGTTGGAGTGACAGATGTAGGTGTAGGGGCATGAACCAAGGCCTGGGAAGGAGAGGGGGCTTGAGCTCAACACAGAGGCTACTGTAGATGAGCCAACTGTAGTAATGGGAGCAGGATTTGATGGTTGAGCTGTCGATGGTGATGGTGTTGAAGTAGCTGCTGTTGCTTTGGGTTTTATCAACATGTCCACCACAAAGTTCTCATCAATTGTGTATTCTTTGAGAGCAATATCGTCATTGAGGATTTTGCCTGCATAAATTAATTTTTGGCCTGCTCCTAGAAAGGCATCCTTTCTCTTTTCAGATTCAATCTTCTCTTTCGGTGCCTTAATGGTCTCCTCAGGGTTGATGTGTATCTCGAAGGTCTGTTGCTGGAGGGTGTTCAGAGTGATCTGCATGGTGTAGCTGCCACCCCCAGAGGCCATGGTGGGCTCAGTCGGCCTCTCTGGGCTGGGAGGGAGGTTGAGGTGGCTGAGGGGGTTGGTCACATTCACCCTTTGGGGTGGCCTCCCCCCAGGGCCTGGGCCACAGCCACTCTGCTGTTGCTTTCCTGGGTGTGATCAGCCACAACTATTTTCTCCCCAAGGCACAGGGCCAGCCGGGAGTCTGTCCTGATTCATGCACCTGGAGTTCATTTGACAATAGTTTGATGAAGCCTTGAATTAAAAAGTGAATTCTATTAATAAGAATTACCTTTCTCCAGCCACTAGTACTCTAGCATTTGTACCGCCTTATTGATGACAAACATATTCTTCATATCAATGGTCAGCAGCTGGTTTTGTTTTACTGGTCTTCTTCTTGTTCCTCCAACTTCAAAAAATCATATCAATTTGTTCAGCTGCTAGCTGTATCAGAAGGCCTTGGCTTTTTTCCTGAGGACTTATTAAGCTATTTTGCATCAGTGATCTATCAGTTCTTGCTTATCAGTTTTTATGTTTGTTTTCAATCAGTTTTACCCTTTTTACTTCAGTGTAACTAATCTCATTTTCATTGGGACAGCTAGGTGGCGCACTGGGCTGGGAATGCCAGGCCTGGACTTAGGAAGACTCATCTTCCTGAGTTCAAATCTGGACTCAGACATTGACAGCCGTATGCCCCTGGGCAAGTCACTTAACCCTGTTTGCCTCAGTTTCCTCAGCAGTAAAATGAGCTGGAGAAGGAAATGGCAAACCCCTCCAGTATGTTTGCCAATAAAACCCCAAATGGAGTCATGAAGAGTTGGACACACCTGAAATGACTGAACAAGAAAAACAAAACAAAACAAAACAAAAACTAATCCCTTTTTCATTGGAGGCTTAAATGATCCTTGAAGTGTTTGATGTCACCAAGCCAACAGCTACTACAATACCTCTGTCATTGAAGTATGTCTATTAAGAGTGACAACTCTTGCCTATTTCCTTGTAGTAATACCTATTCTTAAAAGCACAAAATTAAAAACACAAATAAAAGACAACAATGAAATGTTTGTATGTCATGGAATCCAGCACTCAACTGACAGAGAATTAGCTAAAGGTGGGCAAACCTGCTCAATCTGATTTCATCTGGTCCAGGTCAGAAGTCCTGAATCATCTTCTCCCATGTCAATAGAAGAAAACATGTAGGACCACAGCAGTCACAAAACGAGGCATCAAAATTATTGCGAATCCCAAGTCATTTGTACACATGAGTAGTCTAACACCTCCATTTTACAGATGAGGAAGCTGAGGCCTAAAGTTATAAGTGACTTGCCCAAAGTCTGATAATTGGCAGAGCCAGGATTTTTACCCAGGTCTTCTGTCTCCAGAATCCAAACTTATTTTCCAATATATCAGAGTTCTATACAAAACTGAATAAATGAAAACAAGCAGAAGTTTGGTGTTTAAAGAAGAAAAACTTGGAAAATTTCACTCATGGGGAACTTATTTCCTAAGGATAATGGACAAAGGAGAGTTCACTCATTTATTAGAGTATTTTTTTTTTCAATTTCATAATACTCCCGCACATGTTTTCAGGAAAGAAAATCAAGAAAAAAGAATTTCTCCTTGTTTAGCTGGTTCTTAATTGAAGTTCTACTCTAATATCTCATCAGGTTTGGAAGTTATCCTGGCTCAAAGAGGATCATGAGCTGGAAGGCTGGGGGTAGGAGGAAG